GAAAAGAAGTCATTGTCACTCCCAGACCTTACTGTTCACCTGATCCATCTGGCCCCAACTATGAGCAGTATTGTCGTCAGTCTCTAATGAAGTGCAAGCCATTCAGAGATATCAATGAACTCAAGTCTGGCTATGATACCTTCACTGAAGCATATGTTGGATTTTTACAGTCTGGAAATGTTCGAAGATCACTGGAGCAAGATATATTCAGACTGCAACAACACCAGTCATCATCAGATGCTGTTGAAGATGAAGAGGTATGAACTTTAATTTTTCTATTATTGTTATTATTATTATTATTATTACAATTATTAAAGAAAATGTGAATTTTTATTTCATCATATTTATTTAATACATTTTTATGGGAAACATCTCAAGAGGAACAGCAGCAGAATCAACAACAAAGACCTCAAGAGGAATGGATGTTGATCTGCCAAAGAACCAGTCAACTTGAGCCAAGCAACACTACTGAGGAGGAGCATGATTGGGCAGAAGCAGCAAGATCATACCCTGATATTGATAATGCTCCCCATTTCATTGCTCAAGGAAGACAGAATACCAGATACACTCCATTTACTACCTCTGCTACTCCTAACAACCTTCAGGGAAGATAGTTGGAAGTGTACACCACTGTCAGGCAGCACTTTGAGAGTACCAGTCAAGAACCACTCCACATCATCATCAATGGTACTGCTGGTACTGGTAAATCATACCTTATCAACTGCTTGAGGTTGTTGTTAGGTGGTAGTGTCAGAGTAGCAGCACCAACAGGAGTGGCATCTTTTATCATTGAAGGAAGGACACTCCATAGTCTCCTGCATCTTCCAGTGAGAGGTGACTTTAAGGAAATGGAAGGAAGCAATCTCCAAAAGATGCAAGATGAATTGTCATCTACCAAATACCTTATCATTGATGAGATGTCAATGGTGGGGAGGAAGATTTTTGGTATGATTGCTAGGAGATTAAGGCAAGCATTTCCTAGCAAGTCACAAGTTCTGTTTGGTGGTTGCTCTGTTTTTTTATTTGGAGACTTTGGCCAGCTGCCACCAGTAATGGACCTTCCTTTATACACTTCTGTCACACGTTCAGATCTATCAGACCAGGGGTACAGAGCATACAGTCAGTTTGAGACAGCATTCACTCTGACCCAAGTAATGAGGCAATCTGGACAAAACACTGATTAGATCAAATTTCGTGACATCTTACAACGTCTGAGAAATGGAGACACAACAATGGAAGATTGGAACCACCTCATGGAACAAACACCAACTAGAGTACATGATCAGTCTTCATTTGTTAATGCTCTTTGACTGTTCCCTACTGTTGAAGCTGTTGTTAATCACAATGTTGCTATGTTACGTGAGTGTGGTCATCCTATTGCTACCATCAAGGCAGTACACACTGGAGCCAATGCAGCCAAAACTCCACCTGATGATGCTGGTGGCTTGGAACCAGTTGTGATGCTAGCAAGAACAGCAAGAGTGATGCTAACTAGCAACTTGTGGGTTGAAGTGGGATTAGTTAATGGAGCAATGGGAACAGTTGAAGCTATCTGCTACAAGGAAACCATGCCTCCTCATCTACCAGTGGCTGTCATGGTACGGTTTGATCATTACACTGGACCAACTGTGCATGATGGAACAGTACCAATCACTCCAATACGTCATAATTGGTCTTCTTCAGGTGGTCAGTGTTCACGCCTTCAACTACCACTCAAGCTAGCATGGGCAGTGACAATCCACAAGTCCCAGGGGCTCACTCTCGACAAAGTGGTCATTGATGTAGGAAAGAAAGAGTTCTCTTGTGGATTAACATTTGTTGCCTGCTCAAGAGTGAGAAAGTTGAAGGATATACTGTTCATGCCACTATTTCCTCTCCCAAGACTCAAGAGCATTGCTAATAATAAACGTCTTCAGGAAAGGAAAGAAGAAGATCAACGTCTGCTTAGTCTTCAGGAAACAACAGCTGAACCAACTATTGAAGACACATCTCACATGGAGTGGATATGACACCTCCAGTATCAGCTAATGCCACCTTCTTAATAAGATTAGTCTGCATGCACAATCATTGTTTTATTTAATGTACATTTAACAATTTTTTAACCTCTCTCTCTTTCTACCTTAATCTACTTTTAAAAAATTCACACTGATTCCTTCATACATGTAACATGCACTCTCTCTTTCCTCTTTCTACCTTAATCTACTTGTAATTCACACTAATTCCTTCATACATGTAACATGCACTCTTTCCTCCTATACTTTAATCTACTTGTAAATTCACCCTCTATCCTTACTGATTCTTTCTTACATAATCATAAATCTACTTCTTTCTTTATATTACTTGAATACATTACTCATTCTTAATTGTCACTTTAGATTATTCCTCATCAGGAAATTGTTCACAAGAGAGTGAGGAAATTACTGCTGGTACTAGATGTAGAAGTCTTAACAGGGTGCTCAGTGCTACTAGTAAGTTAGCTGTAACAGTTACTTGCTTGTAGTGCTGTTCATGCCAGTAGTTTTATGTAAACTGAGAGTAATGCAGATGTAATCTACATAGTCTACTGCAATGGCTGACTACTGAGGTCATATGTGTTCATGTATACACATGCAGTTTTCAGTGCTGGCAGTAGAGCTATAGTTGCCCTTAAAACTAAGTTCCGTCAGTTGGGAGCTATAGTTGCTGTAATGCTGTTCAGCATTACAGTGCTAGTTGCCCTGTGGATTTGCAGGGACTAGGAGACATACTCTAGTACCAGCATAGTCAATTGCCTTTTATTAGAGGTACCCATCATTTTTAACCAAATTTATATTTTTATACAATCTGTAGGAGGGTGGTAGGTGTTGGGGGGCCAGCATGTGGTGTCACCGATTAGCGATGGTGACGGCTATTACACTTTCATCAATGAAAGTGTACAAGTACACCACAAAAAATTACATTATTGAGTTTGTGAACTGTATTAATCAAAGCTTACATTTGTTATTCAACTTAGTATATTCAAATTTCATTATTTGTCTTTGTGAACTTTATTAATCAAATCATGATTTCAACTTAGTATAATTGGGGCGAGCATGAGCGAGCCCCACTCAGGCGAAGTCTCCCCCCCCCTCCCTCCCTCCCTCTGTATGTATGTACGTACGTCTCCAGTCACGCCTATTCTGGTCACACCCATGTGTGCACTGCTCTCTATTTAAAATCAATGATCTAATGCGGTAACATTCTGATGAAATATTTTCATTGGTGTGGGTGTGGTTGCAATGAAACAAAATGGCGACTATCAAGAAACCAGCTCGAGCAAATCTTACTGAAGCTTACTTGCAGCAAATAAGACTGATCTGTTGTCCAGGCACTTCTCCAGCAAAAAGAAGTTAAGAAAGCAGATATAAATCTATAGCAGTACTGTGCTTAGCTATACAGTTAAATTATGTTTAAATTGCAGGTGGGGTTCTTTGCTAATAATAAAGGTAGGAGAGCAAGCTATAAAATTGTCTTCCAATGGGCCATGCATGCAAGTCAGTGTATGCTCGTGCTCGCCACTCAATGTCCTACATTCGTCTAGTTATATTATAATAGCTAATACTGATGCTGCACAGTGGGTGTTGCTGCTGTTGTATACTGATCCTGATACTGATGCATTGGTGGTAGTCGACCATTCTTTCTTTTTAATTCGTCACGAACCCTTTCCCTCTCTTCTTCTTCTAGATGCACCTTCCACTTTATCTCTTCTGCTTCTTCTTTTCTTTTTTCTCTTTTTTTTTCCTTGTCCTCATACAGCCGTAATCTCTTTCCTAATTCCCTCTTTTGATTCTTGACTTGTGTGTACTCGTGGACAAATCTTTTTTCTTTCTCCTGAAGCTTCTTCTCCAGTTCTTCTTTTTCTTACCTCACATTGCTCAGCTTCTCCTCCAAATCACATATCTCTTCCACTTTTTTTCTCATCCTCTCATGAAAATCCTTCTTGTCGTTGTAATACCAATCGGCTGGTACATAACCCTCCTTGCAAAAAGCATCCTTGCAACAACCAGCCTCCTTAGAACCAGAACCCTCCATGGCAATCTCGAGTTCTTTTTTACACAGTTACCAATTTGTGAGTTACCAGTTTATACCACTTTCAGTTTGTCAGTTACCACTCTGCTCGACTGCTCGTCAAAAGATTAGTACATAAACTATTTTTAGATATTCTTAATTATATTAGGGTATCTATTGATACTATAAATAAAAAAAGTTCATATGCGCATGCGTGCTACATGATCAAGGCCACGGCGTACTCATTCATTCACTGGTCATCACTGTTAGGGAGTTAGTCTACATTATCTTCTTCCATCCTTCTTTATACTCCCTTGTCTATTGCCCTTACTTGCTCACCTCTGATGGAAAAGAAAAGGTATACTCCTGTCAAGAGAGCGCTATCATATGACGTGCACGAGTTAGAAATTAGTGACAATGTCACCATAAACGGCAAAGTTATTGAGCTATTAGAAGTCAAAAACAAGGACAAATGTAAATATTTCAGTGGTAAATTGTCAGATGGCATTAACTCTGCTAGATTTGTGTCGTTTGAACTAAATTTAAGACCATCAATTGAGAAGCTCCACCATGACAAATCTCCCATTGCTCTAAGTGGATGTCGTGTCCAGCAAAGTAAATTTGACTCATCATTGGAGATAATGACAAGCAAGCACTCTACAGTGGAACAGTCTCATAAAAATTTAAAATTGATGATGAAGATATAAAGACCAACCCTGTTATCACAATTGACGAACTACAAACTACCAGTGTTAATCAACATGTCTCAGTGATTGGAAAAATCATACGAATAGAAGCACCTGTGGAAGTAAATACTAAGGCTGGTAAGAAGCTACAGAAGCAAGATTGTTTCATACGAGATAGTGATTCAACATGTAGAATTGTTCTCTGGGAGAGTAATGTTGGTATACTGGAGAAGAATAAAAGTTATAAATTGGTCAAGTTTCTCGTTTGGCCATATGATGGTGTGAAATACTTATCTTTGTGTGATAGTTCTACTTTTGAAGCTATTTCAGGTATTGAGGAAATAAGCGATGATGATGATACACAGTATTTTGAAGAACCTCAGCCAGCAGTGTCAGTTGTATGTGGAGAGATAATTGCAGTGCTAAGCACTACTGACTATGTAAGCTGTGTGAGCTGCACAGGAACTGTACACAGCATCAATGGTATCTTAGGCCAATTTACACATTGCAATGCTACCATCAAACTGAAGAGTTGTAACAGTAGCAAGTCAGCTAGAATAGTAGTAGCAAGTGGCACTAAGAAATGGCACCACACTGCATACAATGAAGAGTTAGAGGTGATTATAAAAGATGAACAAGGTGAATCTCTGGAAGAAAAGCTATTAAATATTGATACAATAACAATTCATTACAACACTAAAAACAATGTAATTAAACAAGTTGAAAAGCATCAGTAACTTTGAATGTATTATGCATTGTCAAAATGTCATGCATCACATCATTATCATTTGAAAAATATTCAATAATAATAATAATAATAATAGAAATATGTCCTGCGATGCTCAGGCTCGTCCCCTCAATGTTCTGCATTTGTCTAGTTATTATTATTCTTTATGCACAATGCACAAGGAATGAGGTAGGAAGTTTCTGCTACAGGTAGCTTAATAACAGTAATTATGTTCACTTTGCATCTAGATTTTACAGATTGTCTAGTGAAGAAGTGTGTGCATCCTAGAGCATACAAATGGGTGGAATGTGAAGTGTGCTCTAGATGGTTTCATCAAATGTGTTGGTTTTACAAAAAAATATTGCTAATAGAAAGTTTCTGAACAATAATTTCATTTAAACTTGTACATTCTCATGTGCTAGGCTATTATAAAACGATTGATTTAAATATAAATGGGCGTGGTCCGATTATAGATGACAGTGCTTCATCAACTTTCTTATATTTTTTTGTCTATTGAAAATGCAAAGCAGCAGTTCTTCTGATAATTTAAGTAGCCGCATCAAGCAACTATTAGAACATCACAAAAAGTGGAAAGTTTATGGAGCATATAATTTTGACGACCTTTGTCCAATGAAAAATCTTATTGCCCATAATTACGTACTTTTGGATGACATTTTGTTTTTATTTTTTCTTAAGAACAAAAGAAACATGTACGAAGTAAGGTCCATGTTTTAAATAGTCAATGACTTGAGTTTATCACTGTATTGCACAATAGCACAAAAAGTATGTACAAACAGAAAAAAATATTTTTGGTATCCAAAAATGGGTGTTGGCCGATTATTAATTGCCTACTCTTCTTGTTTCTTCACAAAATGCAACAGTTATTAATTCCAGTTGATCCAGTTATAGTGATGTTGTCAGGAATGTCATTTAAAAGCTAACAATGATGAGGATTTATGGATCGGATTCGACTCATACAGTAACAGGTATCAGTATACATGTTGGGGATTAGCCAGGATACCAGCTAATGATTACTGGTCATGTCCTGAATGTGAATGCCATATATCCTGAAATAAATGCTGGGTGCCAATAAAAGCGAGGTTAGGAAAAAGGAAAGCATAAATACACAAATCTAGCCTTACAAGAGCATGGATGCCTTGTATCTAGATACCTCCTTAAGCTTCCTGAAATTACTTGCATGAGGTCCCGGGTCCAAATCCCACTGTTGGCTCAAGTTTTAATTTACTGTATACTGGTTTATTTGTGTAGTGAAATATTTTCGCAAATTTTGCGATTTCTTGCTCAGTCGCATAATTTTTTCACCACAAAATTCTGCATTCCAATGCCACGTGGTGCAGTCTGCAAGCTATTAAAGAAATCTTAGAATTGCAAGATTTGTGAAAATTTGCTACCGCAAAAATAAACCAGTTAGTATACAGTATTTTTAAAAATTTTTCTGAGGTCCAAATGTCATTTCAAGAAATAGGCATTCTGGCTTTTATTTCACGAAATACGGTAATAATTGTTATTGATATTACATAACTATTAGCAGAAATGCCAAAAAGAAAAGATTTTGACCATGTATAAAAAATATTTTATAGCTTTTAAGTTTGCAGGATTTACTGAACAAAGCATCAACTGAAGGGGCACAGGGACTCCTTTAACTACAAATATTTTATTATTCTTTTGAATTTGTAGATCCCTGTAATTCTGAAAAATTACCATTTTTTGTATTACCTTATGACGGAATTGCCCCGTCCTTCATTATGTTTAAGAGCATTATTTTAATATTTCATTTGCTCTAATATCTATGATTTTATCTACACTGGCCTTTTTTGGAGTAGAATTTGGTGTGTCATGAGGAATGCTATTTTGTAAAACCTCATAAAAATCTTGCCATTAAAGTAAGTATAATACAATATCAATTAGCAAAAATTCCGAGGGCACTTGAAGTCTGAAGCTTCATTTGAACCACCATAATTTTGAATAAAAGTCATCAGAAACACTTTAAATCACATTAAGGAAACTCCATTGAGCATAAAAAATTACTCTGAACCACCAACAATGAAGCGCCCATAACAAAAGCAAAACTATTAGAGTAATTAGAGATTATAAGCAGACATGGGCCAAACAGTTAAGCACTTCTGCTTATGAGCACTTTCAGCACTTTTTGTAAGTACTTGAAGGTGCTAGCAAGTATTATCATATTGCAATGACTTGTACTTAAGCTCTTTTTAATGTAAACACTTCAAAGCACTTTTAAAGCACATTATAAGCACTAATGCTTGTTTCTTTTATCAGTTAATACAAAGCATAACATACATACGTTTGAGACCTGCTTTCAGTTTAACCTTTAAAGATGGCCACAACCACTACAAAGCTACCAAATTTTATTACTTTTATCTACTTGAGGATTTGAGTGGTACTTTCAGAGCCTAAGTGCCATAAACATTACCTTAACTTATAGATGCAGTGCTTTACTTGTGCTTTAAGCACTTTCAACAGTGCTTTACGTACTTCTTGAAGCACATTCTTTATTATAGCATTAGTGCTTGTGCTTAACAAGTGCTTTAAGATGTGCTTGAAGCACATTGCTAAATTGAAGTATTTGAGCCTGGCTTATGCTTAAGCAATGATGTCCTTCAAGCATTTTAAGTGCTTGTCCATGTTTGATTGTAAGTACAGTTAGCCAGACTATACACAGTGACAAATAAACAGTATGCTAAAATTCAACTGTCGATGCTGTTAGGAAAGCACAAGTCATAACCCAAGCATTACAATAGTGGAAAGAGAAGAATTCAAGGAATCAAATGTTCTTATTAGCCTGGCAGTGCAGCTACCACAGTGGCCTTGTCAAACTACATTTAGTGTCTAGGATACATTGAATAGGCGAACATATGTCTTAAACAATCACTTTTTACTGTTTCTTAATAATAACAATGGCATATCATGACAGCTTGATTATTGTGAGAGTTAAACCTCTAAAAAAATTGATAATATCACACAGTGCTCATCAGACATCAACATCACAATATATGGAGTCAGACATTAAAACAGCATTACTATCACAACCTAAATTAGACCATTCAGTTTCATCTTTCACGTGAATAATTTGTGAAGTTTTATAAAATGGGCAACAGCAAAGATGTACATGTAAACCTGCAAGCACATCATTTTCATTGCTGTACTTGTGCAGACAGATTGCTCCATTTTAACTCATGCCCAATGCAGTAAATTAGGTTTTGTCAAATGGGAATGACGTGACACTTTTGACAAAAATTCTTATTAAAAAATTTTTCCTTTTAAAAATTTGCCACTGTAATAGTGATAATAAACAAATACTATCAATCAGGAAATTTATGGGGTAAAAATGTTTTAACATCGTGCCGTGATTTAATTTTTACTAAATAAAACTGTGTCATGTAATACTAAATGACGTATGTATTTACACATGCGAGTTGTGACCAAATTTTTGTCAAATTCTACTACAGTAACACCAGAAGTGCAGGAAATCGTATGGTTTCCCTCATGCTATAATAGATACCCATACCATTTTACTTATTTCTTTTACATAGATACTTGAACAGTGCTGTAACTAGCACCATTAAGAGAGAAGCTGCTTGTTATAAAGAAACACGTTTGGTTTTCATGTAAGCAAAGATATGCCACTGTGAAAATTATTTGTTTAATAAGAATTGTTTGACTTCAATTTTTGTGCAAATCATTCACAGAATACCTGGAACCTCTAAAGTCCTTTCATAGACTTAGGAAGGTGTAGTCTACATGTCCTGCTAGTTTCAATCTCAATGGAGCAGATATAGCTATAAAAAAGTGCTGTAAACTTGGCCATAATTAGGCGACTAAAATCCTTGATTTACAAGAGCTGTTCTCCTTATTTTGCCATACACAGATAGAACCAACTCTCCTTTTTACTATTACGAACAATGAGCTTCATTTGTGCTTCTGTTTAGGAGGTACACTTCTACTTGCATAGCCACCATTTACACTTTTTAGCCAAAAACCCAAATTTTAGTGCAAATCATTCACAGGGGTGCTGGGCTTTTGCCAAAGGGTCTGATACTGTACGTACCTTTGCTTAATACATTGTGAATCTCATCAGTTGCTGGGTTTTATTATATTCAGGTAAATTTCCCCTCAAAGTTGCTATATCTTTCAAAAATTGCCTAATTATCAGCTTATCAGCTGCACATGGTTCAAATTTTGAAAGATATTAATTATATCCATAAGCCATTGGCAATAAATATTTTATCAGTGATGTATCAGGAAGTGAAGCCATAAAGGATCCATTCACAATTGTGTAGCACCTTCATGTAGACTGTACATAGGATTATATAGAGCAAATAATAAGGTAGAGGCCCTATGGTTACACGTACATGCATGTATAATACATGCACATGTTTAATGCAGGAGGAAGACAAATTTATTTTGTTATTTGGCTAACCATTCTAAAATTAAATTTGAAATTAGAAGTGACAAAAGTCACTTTAAGCCAAGCTTTAAGGCAAACTTTAAGGTAACTTTAAGGTAAATTTAAGGTAACTTTAAGGCAAAGGTACATTAACTAAAGGCCAATTTACACTGCAAAATTAACGTAAGGTAAGGCCATACGTTAAGACAGGAAGTATGTATAAACCAATGGCCAAACGTAAGAGTAGAGATAAGTTCAACTCTTACATGTACGTTACGTAAATGGTTACCATTGGTTTATACAGCACTTCCTGTCTAACGTATGGCCTTACCTTACGTTAATTTTGCAGTGTAAATCGGCTTTAACTTAACAACTTTAAGGTCAGAAATTAATAAATAACTCACTTTATCTCTTCCCTTTTCTTTCAATCGTTCTAAAGACCTCTCTAATCCTTCATCTAGTAAATCCTTCAATCTAACAGTATCTCCAGATCGTGTTTTTAATTTTTTTCTGCAATAATTATTCTGAGATAGCAACAATATGTGATTACTATCTACTTGTCTTCTCCAAGGACAACACCAAAACCGACATGGTCAATGCGAACACCATCAGCAACATAGCCTGCCATACAACCTCCTTCAAATACAGTCTCAAAATGAAGACCCTAGTTTTAAATAAATTATTAGTGCATTCACAAACTGAATAGTCAAGAACATTTGATATAGGCGTTGGGTAGATAGTCTAGATACTAACTACAATTCAAACAGCAAATAACCATTTGAAAATAAACCGCAATGAAACGGCACAATGCACATACATCACAAATGCAAAAAATATTATTGCATGTACAGTACAGTATAATTAGTACTCACCTGTCCAGCATCTACAACATATATTAACCAATCTCCCTTTTCTTCTTCAATACGATGTCTTAGAGCGGCCATATCACTTGTATCATAAGTATGTGCACCATCTGATTTAGCAAGCATCAGTGGAACTAATTTACCAGGAATATGCATCACTGTAGCTCCATCTTCAATTACAGCCAGTCCTAAAATACAATAAAACAAAATGCCAAATCCTAGAATGCTTAATAAAATTTAATTCTAGGGTACTAGTGAATGTAATTGGGTCCAAACCTTTAAATTTTTATTTTAAAAATTTAGAATTTAATAATAAATAAACACTTCATAGGAGGTGTTTATTTGTTTGAAATATACATGAACATAATTATGAGAAGCAGTCAATTAGTGGTATTTTTGCATGGCTTCTTGTATCATTATACGATGTATATCATTATATTCTTATATCAAAATTAATACCTTTGCCTCTAAGATCTTTAACTATTCCAGGCATCATTGGCTCATAAAAGGATTCACCCCTCTCCTGATTTTTCACACCAAGACGATCATATATCAATAAGAATTCTAAACAAATTAGGTGCAACAATCAATCATTACTAAAAATAATACATGTTTGCGCATTTTAAGCACTTAAGATATTTCGTATAAAAGAAGCTGGTTAGCTTTTAAAACAATGCATATGTACATGAATGTAAAATGACTAGCAGAAACCACAGGTCTGCTATCTAGTACATTATGCATAGATGGATAAAGACTTATGTTCTGAGTATACATGTACAATACACAACAAATTTTACCTTTACGTGACACATCACAAATAAGCTTCCAAGCTTGATGTACTTCTGGATCATTTCCTTGAAGTTTCACTACACAGTTATATGCCCTTTTTTTAAAATTTTCATCATTATCAAATCTTTTCTTTGACTCGCGATAAAATTTCTGCAGGTCTCCAATAGGAGGAGACACTGTAGAGTAGTCTGGAAACTGATCTTGCAAGTGGGCAATGAGCATGCCAAACTGAGTACCCCAATCACCAACATGATTCAGTCTACAAATAAAATTTGTACATACAACAGATGTAATCACAAAAATGTAGACAATCTTAAGCCATAGCCTTCATACCTTAACACATCATGGCCAAAGAATTCCAATAAGCGACATATTGTCTCTCCAATAATTGTTGATCTGAGATGACCAACGTGCATTTCTTTAGCAACATTTGGAGATGAAAAATCAACAATTACTCTCAATTTTCTTTCAACAGGTGGAGGGCGAACACCTTTTACAAGAATGTCTGACACTAGCTCCGAAATGTAAGATCTTTTAACATAAACATTAATAAAGCCAGGACCAGCCACTTCACACTATAATAATAAAATTGATTAGAATTATAATTTAACTCATATGCAATACATGCAAATGTGAATGATAGACTGATCTTCATTACCACTATCAATTAATCAAATGTAGATACAGTCACACGCATCTTAAAAGTCAGTTTAAGCACATTAAAAAGCTTGGCACATTATAGATATACATGCACATCAAAGCAGCTTATATTCCACAAAAACCTCTTTCTCATTCAAGTATAGCTCTTACAACCATTAATACATTACCTTTTCAATAACAAATGGAGTTGAAGGAAGATTATTAAGAATTTTCTGTGCAACATCACGAGGAGAAAGAACTTCACCTGATTGCTTCAAAGTCTAAAGTAAAATCAAAATGAAAAACATACAGCCATCATAGTGCACACATAAAGAATTTAGTAGATAACGTATACCGTATAACGCTTTATTTTGGCGATTTAGCTGTAAAATTGTAATTGACGGTTTTTAAATTGGCAATTTTTGTATACACGTGCATTACTGAGCATGCGCATTAATGATTGGCAGTTTTAATATTGGCGATTCTGTTTGCAAACCGCCAATCGCCAAAATAAAACTCCGCCAAATTAAAGCATTATACGGTAATTATCTCAATTTAAGGCTTAATTATTAATGACTAGTAATAGCATACTAAAAATTTAGAAACAAAATTAATATAACATAGCTTACATTAGCAAGTGGCATTGCAGCCACACACTTATAATCTCCAAATCTTTCAGCTCCAGACGCCTGTATAATAGCTCTGGTAGTATTAAATGAAGGATAGCATTTACATAATGCAGTCCGGAAAATAGCAGTTATCACACTTCTAACATTAGTCATGTGCAGGGCTCTTTTAGTATTTTCGTCTGCTATACTCTAAAGTAAAAAGGAATTTATGAAACTAGCATATGTAAGTATGGCTAATAAAATTATTGAGCAATTATATCCAGGATAATGAAAATTTTGTGGCTATGACCAGCGTTATTTAATGCAAAAATGATGTAAAAATTACAATGGCTACAAACTGCAAAATTGCAGTTGTCAATAATTATTGTCAAATTCCCCTTTTTTGATTTTGTATTGAATAAATTTTAAAAAGTAAATATCAAAAACGGTAACTATAAAAAAAGAGAGTAGTCTCTAAAGATGGTCAGGAGGAGTACTTAGGTAAAACCAGGCCTACAATACCCAATTATTTTGTCAAGTGACACAAGTCCATAAACTCCCAAGTGCAACTATATCAGTATTGACAGTTAAGAGTCATGGCCAGCAAGACTAGCTGATCAAAATGAGGACAGATCCTTGTTATTTTATTCCAGCTCTTGTTTTAGGATGGAGTCATGGTATAATTATAAAGGCATTAGGGGTCACGGTAAAGGAATGTAAGCACCGTATCGCTATTCTTAAGAGCATAACAAATTTTGTAAAATTTGCAAATTTTTAAGATTCGCGAAATTAAATTTCTTGAAAAGCAATCTAATACAGTATAGGATGGCAGAATAGTGGAAATCGTATCCTTAAAAGAACAGCTATATGCTAATTAATTTTTTGTGTTAGGATTTTAACAAAGCATTAAGGGTTCCACCCCTAGCCATGCTACCAACTTTTAGGTGACTGCCGGTCTGCCCATACAAATGACGTTGAATATGACGTTGATCTGGGCTGCAAGCAATATGCATGAATGTGACTACTAATCTAGTAGCCTACTACACCTCAGACATGATGGCAGCCAGGAGAGAGGATAAGAGTGAGGAAGATAACCCTACTGTTCCCACAAATAACCCATTAAACCCAGACTCACTGAAATGAGCACAGAGAAGGAAAACACATCCCCCAGTACAACTGATCGCCGGCGCAGTAAGCGGAAAAGGTAGTTATATGACTACATAACATATGATATTGCATTTATTTAGATCAATCAGCGGCTGGCCCAAGTGGCAGTGCTGCAGAGCCAGAGCCACACTGGTTAGTCTATATTATTTAATAGATAGTGTTTAGACTAATATAATACTTACATGCAGACTTAATCCTCTTCCACTAAATGCTTTGAATGCAATGAAACTCAGAAATAGTTTAAATGAAAAATTCTAAAGAAGGCAATGAACTATATTTTTATTTTTTTTCTTGATTATTTTTATTAATTTTTCTTATTTTCTTTTTTTTGCTATTGTTTGTTTTATTGTCATATTTTAATTTTTTGAATTTTTTGTTATTTTTGGGAATATTTTGGTTTTGTTCATTCTTTGCTTTGTTTTTTATCCTTTATTTCTTAACTATTTCTATTACTTCCCTTGATTTTATTTACATACTTTGTCTAATCTTTATATTTTTTAATGTTTAATTTTTTAATTTTTTTTTGCTAATAACTACAAAGAAATAAGTGGACACAGTGTCAAAGCAATACTACTGCTTACTCAATTGCTTCATTCTTACTAGTTGAAAGATTATCATTATTAAAACAAAAAAATATACAATAATTAAACAACTACAGTAGAACCTCCAAAAAACGGGCCTCTAAAAATCAACCAAACTTCATACAACGATCACAATAAGTGGAACGGACCAATTTTGCTCGACTTACTTCTGAAAAGCAGCACCTCTCTATAACAAGCAACGGCCAATGTTACAGCCACCATCAAGCACACTTCCATGTTTATTTGCCTCTTAAAACAGCCAGGAGGTGTGGTCATACAATGACAAGTTATAATTTATCATGACATACATGTAGTAAATTTAATATTTATTAATTTAACTTAAGAGTCTAGTAGTAATGGAATTACAAATGGCCTGCAGCTACTAATGATTGCACAAGTTCATCCATCTTTTTAATGTATGCTGGAGGACCATACAAACGATAAGTACAAGGATTTCCAGCCCATATCCAGCTCCTCTGTTGACTCTTTCGCCTGTCACTTCAACAAACGCTTTCCAGGTATCCCTAGATAAAAAAAGGAAGACTCTGGGAGCAAGGTTTCTAGGGAAATGCTCGACAACACGATCCTCCTGATACACAGCCACAGCATTTAGGTCAAACACATTGCCTATTTCCCTTTTTACCAATAAAGTTTCTCCAATGGTAGCACTCCATCAGTCTTTATAAACACAATATCCCCAAATATAAGAATTAATCTCCAACACTCTTTGTTCTGTCATTATCAGACTAATGAGTCATGCGCAAGCACACCCTAGACACAATATAGTGAGGAAACATTGAACAGCTGATAGGCAATAACCAACATGGCTTCCAAGGCTCCAAAGAATTTCTTGACTTTAAAAAGAGGAAAGTTGATGTTATCAAAGGAAAGGAAAAAATCCTTCCATAACTCACAGAGCATTAGATGAGATGTTTGGTTGTGGGCAAACACAAACAGTTCAGATCTTGAAGAAGAAAGAGACTATAATGGCACTGTACTAATCCAATGCTTCTGGAAGTAGAATTCACTCAACTAAAGTATCCCATACATCTGAGTAAACAGAGATCAATGAGGCACTATATAAATGATACACTATGGCTTGTTCAAAAAATATCTACCCAGGCGAACCAGAGCTTACTGAAAAGGCCAAGGTAATTACTGAGAAGCTGGAAAGCCAGATTTCAAAAGAACAAATGGTTGGTTGGGGAAATGGAAGGCAAGGTACAACATCAAACAAGCTACACTAAGTGGGGAATCTGGAGATGTTCAACTGAGTATGGTTGATTCATGGAAGGAGAGGTTACCAGAACTAGTTGAGAGATTTGAAAAGGGAGATATCTGGAACATGGATATGAGATAGGCATGTCTTGGAGGGCTTTGCCAGATAAAGGATTTGGAGAAAGGGGTAAGCCATGTAGGGAAAGGAAGAAAAGTAAAATTCGAATAACTGTAGCATTTTTGTGACTGCTGTGGCAAGAAAGAGAAGCCTATCGTCATCAATAAGTCCGAAACAAGTAGATGCCTTAAAGGGTTTGATAAGAGTATGTTACCTGTTACATACTTCAGTCAAAAAAAGGCATGGATGATAAGTAAAATTATGGATAAAATTCTTTCTAAGCTGAATGAATACCTGCCTCTCATGTAAAATTGCCCTATCTTTTTGCTGCTTGATAATGCCAAATGTCATCCTGATCACTTGAGATACAAGTACAGCAACATTAAGATCTGGTTTTTACCAGCCAACACCACTTCTAAGCTGCAGCCACTTGACATTGGGATTACTCACAACTTCAAGGTTCACTGTCATCACTTACTTTTACAATATCTTATCAAAAATTGATGAGTGCAAAACTGCTACAGAGGTTGCTAATTCTATAAACATTCTTATAAGCTTGACACATTCAAGGCGATGGATATTGATTGTGTCAGTCCTCATATTCTAAAGAACTGTGCTGTAGCTTTGCACATTCCAATTTACCATCTCTTTGCACAGATATTACTATATGGAAAACTTCTCTGGGAACGGAAGAGCCACTTAATTACACCTGTTTTAAAATCTGGTGATAGATCATCTGTCAAAAATTATAGGCCTATTTCCTTGCTCTGCTCCTTGTCCAAGGTCCTCTAACGTTTAGTCTTTGACCAAATGATTCTCTTCCTGTCTCCAAGCATTTCTATATCTCAATTTGGCTTTCTCAAGGGGAAGTCTACCAAAGAGCAGCTGCTGTTAATGGTCAATCTCATCTCAAATAACTTGGGCAACAGACATTGCTTACTTCGATTTACAAAAAGCCTTTGATACAGTTCCCCATGAGCTGCGCTTCAATTTCTTGGGACATCAGGCTTATTGTACACTTGGCTGAGTGACTACCTGTTCAACAGAACCCAGGTTGACTCTGTCAATGGCTCCTCAAGGGAGTAGTATCCAGAGAGCACTCTTGTTTCTACTCTTTTTTAACGACCTCCCTGCCTCTGTGAAACACTCTTTCTCTGCTTTTTGCAGACGACACCAAGTGTGCTCTTTCATGCAATCCCACATTTATCAGCAACCATGACCTTCGGAAAGACCTAGACATGCTTGAATAGTGGTGCTGTGACATTGGCATGTCCTTCAACAAGATGAAAAGTGTCATTCTCAAAGTCTCGAACAAATCATATCGTCTCCCTCCTATACCATCAACATGCAGTGTCCCACTCCTGGCCATCAGTACTCATAAAGATCTTGGAGTCTTTTTCACTTTTGACTTTCCTGCTCAAACCACATTTTCTCCATTCTTAAAAATGCTTACAAAACTCTAGGTTTAATTACAAGATCATTCAGTACCTCTGTTGACAGTCATACTACAAGAGACTTATACTTATACCTTTTTTGTTCACAACACTTATACTGCTCACTTATCTGGAGGCCCTACCTTATCAAAGACATAAAACAGTTAAAGCAAATTCAGAGGAGAGCCACCAAATATATCCTTAACGATAATGTCTCGGACTACAAATCCCACCTTATCTCTCTGAACATTCTGCCTCTAATGATGGTGTTAGAACTGAACGATTTATCGTTCTTTGTCAAGAATATGGGTAAACCCTCTCCATCATTTCACATTTTGAATTATATTAGATTCTCAAATTCCTCAACAAGATTCTCTTCTCAATCTAAACTACTCTACACTTGTCCTTCTTGTAGTAAAACCCAACGTTTATACTTCAACAGGCTCCCCAGGCTCTGGAATCGTCTCCCTCGCATTGATTCTAACCTCTCTGCTGCATCAGCTATATCCCGCATCAAGATCTACTTTTGGCACCAGTTTCTCCTAAATTTTGACTCGTCTGATGCATGCAGCTACAATTTGGTTTGTCCCTGCAACACATCCTAAAGCCAATCAAATTCAGTTTACTGCCATTATTATTACTATTATTATTACCACTGTTTTAACTCTGATTGCATTTAATTTCTTCTTAGCT